AGAATTATTTTCATAGTCATATTTTTGAAAGTAGTCACGTACTCATGAGACGACCTCATCTGGAAAGATAGACTGCAAAACAGTCCGTATTTTTGCGTATTCAAGTACGCGCGAGCAGTCCAACGAAAGGTCTAGAACGAGGCTGAAAACAGACAGCGAGACTGGGGAGAGACGTTAAAAATTCGGACTGACCGTTTTGCATACGTCAGTTTCGTTCGAATTACCCGCTTCTCCCAGCCACGGGCAATTCCCATTGGCTAAATTTCGATGCAAGCTGTCAACAAGCTGTCAAGTAATGTTTTCAACAAGTCATTCGCGATATTCGTACCACGCGTGATGAATTGATTTCTAAAGCTTTTGCTGTAAAATGACGGATGTTGATTGCCTGGATTTGCTCGAGCAAGAACTGAGATTTGTTTTAACATCGTAGCAGAAGGAAGCTTTGGAGATGCTGCTCAGGGGAAAGGATGTTTTCTGTGTCCTACCAACAGCCTTATTTATCAGATGTTTGTTCATGCAAAGAGTTCTTCAAGTTCCGTGCAACGGCCGACAGTCATCGTTATCACACCTCTGTAAAAAAGGGGGATCGGTAGAAAACACACGACTTTTACCTGATGCCAAAATAATTGTTTTCTTTGTCGAGTAGATTACGCTTTGGAGGAAAACGTTTTGACTGGGCAAATGTGAATTTTGGCCGCTTATTAAATATATTTCATACTGAGAGGTCGTGACACGCATATTGATTTTCTCTGGTCGGCATGATTTGCCCACTGATGCAAAAGCATCTTCTTTTTTGGCCTCTTTAGAAATGCAAAGTTCTTCATTGCGGTTGATTAAGGGTTTTAGGTTGTTTCATTTCTCCAAAGTGCCTCCTGGATTTGAATAATTATAAGCCATTTTCTTTGTGTCCATGAATGTGACTTTTTCCAGCAAGGTTTTCTCACGCTGGGCCCATGCTCGTTAGCGTCTTTAGCAGGATGTTTAAATTCTCACGGATAGTGATCTGATTTACAGAGCCAAATCCCGAAGAAGTGGATTGGAATGAGGGGATTTATCCATTCTTTTCAATCGAAATAATTGTTCATTGTCAGTTGGCGTGATCAGTTTTTCTCTAATTTGGGAAAGCATCGGAGCCCAGTTTCTAACCTTTGTTCCGCCGGAGAGCAAACTCTTGTGGAGAAAGATTCTCCTTCCTCGAGGACAACGAAAAGTTCGTTTTTCAGTAGATCGGCCAACTTTGGTAATGTTTCTCCTTTTCTGGTGGGGGAAAAAAAACACATTTTCGGAGCTTACCCATCCACTCATAAAATTGCCGAACTGTGTTTTGAAATTCTACAATTTATCCGAAGCGCTCGGCTCTTTCGGCTTACTCCCCCCTCGAGGAGCAGGCACAGGCTTTTTTTACTCACTGCCACTTCCACTCATTTTTGATCCTCTACTTTATATACTACATTTCACAGAGAAGCAATGCTAATGCTAGGTTTTTTTTCTCTCGCCTCACACGCCTTACGGGCGTGTGAGGCTCGCGCGCACTTCGCGCTTAAGAGTGGCTTTCCGTAAATATCGACCCACGGTCGGCACAAGTTGAAAATTTGATTTCGCTCATATTTGGCTCATCGATAACCCTTAATGAGTAATGAAACATGCCGTAGTTAGTTTTCCCAAATAACGTGTTCTTTTGTTAAAATTCGAGAAAACGCATTTTGCCAGTTCAGAGCTCAAAATCCACTTGCGGTACAGCGAAATTTTACGCAAATTCCATTGACTCGTACGTCAAACCCCAACGATTTGGCAGCCTTTGAAGAACACGAATAGTTTTTATGACCCTTTCTTTATTACAAGGCGATAAATGTGTGAAAGCTGTAATAATTTTGTGGCCAAAAAGGTATTGTTAAAAATAGGCCCTATTGATAATTTCTGCCGTTCAAAATTATAGGGATAAAATAAAGCAAATTTTTACAATGCGCTGTAACTTAAAATTTCGCAAATTGACTTTCTACTGCTTAACTAGGCCCCAGTCTATCAGAAAATCGAAACAAATCTCTGGGCAAACGATTTTAAGTAGCCCGCAAAACGTTGAGTTCAACCCTAATTTTGCAAAAAAAAACGCGACATTGCCGTGGTTAAAAATAGCGTTACACGGCCCGTCACGCCAGTGTTACCGATAGATATGCTTTAAACAATTTACTTAAAGGCAGATTAAAAGCCGGTTCGAAATTAAATCTTTCAGTAAACCTATTATTCTCATTGATTGCAGCATTTTCTTCAGATACAACATTTAGGGTCCCTGGGATAGCGTCACATACTTTCATGTTCAGTATCAGACTGGCGATTTCCCTCAAAAAATGGTATATAAACAGAACAAAATCTAAAAACTAAAACTGATTACTGAATGAATTTTTGCATTGAGAGATATTTGCGAATTAAATCATCGCCAATCAATGTCATTTGGTTTATAAAAACTAATTTCCTTGAAGCAATTTTAAAGAATAAAAATATTTTAGACTAAGTATTGGTGCAATAGTTCTTTTCGAAGTTTTTACCCTTGCGGGCTTTCAAAACTGAAAAAAAGCTACGTGGATGGCCCAAGAGGAGCATATACTTGTATGACGACGTGTGTGAATCATGAGGCTACTGCTTGACTATA